TAATTAATTATAAGGGTATAAAATATAAATTTAAAATTATAATTTAAAAAAATCAGTTGTGAGAGGGTGAGTGTATGTGAGGGGATGAGTGTATGTGAGGAGAGGAAGGGGGTGAAAAAGTGAAAAAATGAGTATAACGGGTATTTTGGTCATTTAATATTTTAAAGACATTAAGACTTTTGCTAAATTTGCTTAATAAGTTAGTATAGATATGTCATATGGTGTATCCAGAAAGATTCCAACTCACAAACATTCATAATTCTCACAAAAATCGTATTTTTTAGGTGTATTTAATTGACCCAATTTACATATTTTCAATTGTATTATAACACTTTTGTATTCTTTAAAATAAATTTTAAAAAAATTACGTAAAAAATCGAATTTTAACTTTTTTGTTATATAGGACCGATTTGGATCTGCTCTAAGACAGGTTCTCATAACCGAGCCTCATACACCTTAGCTAGACCTTTATATTTGAATCGAGACCAGGATCAAGACCGGTTATACGAGGATCAGAATCACTATTTTGAGACCGGAATAGATTTAGGAACGAATTTTCACCACCTCTACCTACTGGTCTACATATGGGTATGTTTAATGGGCTTAAGAAAATACAAACGTTTTGAACAGCGCCTCCGGCCTCTCACACTCACTCTCGAAACTCGCTCTCGCCTACGACTATCACTGGACTCTCGATCTCTGCCCTAAAATCGGTGGCCCTAGGTCTGTCACTTTTCTTCCCTGCCCTAGCTTTCCTCTCTTCTGGCTTTTGTCTCGTCCGTGTAGGCTGTAAAGGAGCAAGTTTGGAATCTAAAAATTTGGTAAATTCTTGATTACTTGATCCTAATTTTTTTGATTTTTCTTAGATAATGTATGAAGTTATGCTTACATTACGTTTATTTGATGAAGTGATGCTTAGATAAGTTTATGTCCTGTTCTTTGAGCTGATTTTTTATTTCAGACTTGATTTTTTGTATTTGTTGATGAAGTTATGATTTAGATTAGATTTAATTGATAAAGTTTATTATTGATTGCTAACTTGCTATGTAGTTCAGCATTTATCTAGTAAACTGCAAGTTATGATCATGTAAATTTTCTGAAGTTTAAGCTGTTATAGAATTTGTTAGGGCATCCTAATGAATCTGGTCAATTATTAACAATGATAATCGCAAATTCCCAGTTTTGTTTACCAAAAATATGATAAGGTTGATGATACTTTATTCTATGGTTCTAACCATTAGTTGAATATCCAATTCTACCATTGATTACTAATGCAAAAGAAATTGTGATTTTTTGAACCTGTGGTCCTACAAATGAAGTTGTTTCCTACATTTTGTTGAGATAGGACATCTTCAATGCACCATGACTTGGGGCATTTGCAAGGGACAGGGACTGGGGAATAATACTACACTGTATTTGAGTTCTGGATTTGTTTGGGTTTTTGATTTTTGTCGTTCTGGTTCGCTGAGTTCGATTTATGGTTTTCTGAGTTTGAGTTTGATTTATGTGATCCTGCGTTTTGAGTTAGGTTACCTAGAAATTTGTGACCAGACTATACTTCAGCGATTAACTTGAATGTTGTTTGAAGAAGTCCAATTGATATGGACTTTGAAGCTATTACTTGCTTCTGTATGTTTTACTATGGATTTTGTGTAAATCAAGAATCATACATCCTAATAAGAATAGTACACACTAACACACATAGACATTAAACTTACCTTTCTTTGTGCATTTTTCTTGGGTCTTCCTTCTTGGGTATTTTTTTCTTGAATTTCTCATAACGTTTTTTGTGATCACTGTGTGATACATTCATATATGGTCTTCATCCTAACATGAAAGTTATACACACACTAAAATCATATTTCTGTGTCTTTTTCTTATCTATTTTTGGGAGGGGGAGATGAGCCGTCTAACTTGAGTAGGTTCTAAACCCCCTAAAAGTAGTATGTTTTCTTTTTTCTTTTTTATATATTGGGGGCATTTATTTTGGCATCCACCCTGGGCATCAGAAACCTCAGGACCAGCATTAGATTTAACCATTTTAAAGCTAATTGGGATACTGATACTGTTTGTCAATCTGCGATTTAGAAAACAAGGGCTACACCTCGGAAATGGTTGCTTTTAAGTAGATGTTGTAGAAGTTCTTGAGCCAGAGGACACTTGTTTGTTTAGCTAAATTTAATTATTAATAAGAAATTGATTAAGAAGAAGGTGGCCTGGCTTTGGGAGGTAAGTTTGGTAGGCATTATTTTGCATATTTTTGCTCACTCCTGTCACTTCCAGTCACAAGTTAGTAAGCATCTCACCTGCCTCCAAATTGATCAACATAAAAATGTAGAAACACTATAGTTGATCTCTTAACGTCCTATGAAAAGAACCTTAAAAATATGTATATGTTGCTTGTGTGATTCTGAATATGGGTTTATGGCTGTCACATCCATGTGTACAATAGTTGAGCTGTTTGGTTGTTCTGTGTTTTTGTTGTTGCCAGATTGTGTGAGATATATTGTAGTATAAGCATGAGAGATTAGATGTTTGAACCTACGCTTGCATGAGTGGTTGTTCTTTTTTACCTGGTGGTGTTTTAATTTTACATGCTATTCATTATACATGTATGAGGGAATATCAGCAAAATTAGATTTATTGTGTTAACGTTGGTTAAGCATCTGCCAACCTCGCACTTTGACTATACACTTTTGTTTTTTGTTATTTGTTATTTGTATCATTTATTTTGTATTAAGCTTTGTCTTGGGGGGTTGAATATATTTTTTCGTATCATTTTAATGGATTTCTATCTATATTCTAGCAAGTTGTTTCCCCCACATAAAAAGGAACACGAGAGCGAAATAAAACAAGGATGGCAACCAAGGCAATGTATCTTTCTGTGAGTCATCAGTCTTTACTTTCTATTCCTGCTACTACAAAGCCGCTGCAAGTCAGATCATTCACCGTGAGATGCTCCACTGGTGCTGCCCCCGTGGGTGCTGCCGTTCCTGGTACTCTTTCTTTATAAGTTCGTGTACACATGTGAGCATGTGTTTACTGAAATTCATGTCATTCAGTTTGTATCATTCTAGACACTGGTAATGCAACAAGATCTTTGCTTGGCCCTCACTGATTTTTGCGCTTGTAAAGGACTACAATTTGGCATGTCTTGAAGGAATTTTCTAAGTGGAAGTTTTTAATTAATGTATTCTTGGCATGCCGATTGTGATTCTAATTCATTATGATTTTACATGAGAACATGTTGCCATGTTGGATAATTATATCTTAATGTTCTAAAACGTAGCTAGTCTGGTGCCACCTAACCACACCTGGATCACTTAATCTGACGCCCCCTTGCAAGTTGTAATTTACTTCCATTTGTAGTGAAATTATATCCCACTTCAGATGCTTTGCATCCTCTGCTCTATTATCTTTCTGTAGACATCTGATTACAAGCAGTTTTGTTCCATCCACGAGACATGAAGCCTAGGCAAAATTGTGAATACTTTATTAGTTTATCTAAAACCGGAGTCAGAAATTGAAGATGGTGGACTATTAGCTCAGTGGGTAGAGTTGACGACAAACACTAAACTTGTTCTAGGATTCTAAGCTTAGTACCAAGAATGTATAAAAATATCTTAACCTTCACACAGAGGATGGTGCAAGGCATCTAAAATTTGGGTTAATTGCATCAAACAACTTGCTGACCCTAAATATGTTCTATTACTCAATCTCTAAATCCAGATCATCTTTCTTATATAGATTATACTAGAACATGGATAAGTGGCTAAAGTACCTTAACTACTAATACACAAAGTAAATCAACTACTTTTACCCTAAATCTTCAATTATTAGTGAAACCATTGTAATTACGAATTCCTACTCATTAAACATTGTATAAAGTCCAAATAACATTCTAACATAATTTTGATTGGCCCTAATCTTGTGCCATTATCCTTAATATGTGAACATTTTTAAGTTTGTCAATAGAAGGATTTTAACCTATTTATAATTGATTTGTTGGAGGATGGATTGATCAGCTTTTGCACACTTAGGGGCCGTTTACCAAGCGCTTACCAAGTCGCATTACCTTACCAGATGAATATGACAAGGACAAAGAATCATACCTGGTAAGAGTGATGGCAAGGACCGAGATTCTTACCCGGTAAGTGAGTGTGAGGACTCCTACCAGAATATGACAAGGACAAAGAATCATACCTGGTAAAAGCGATGGCAAGGACCAAGAGTCTTACCCGGTAAGTGAGTGTGAGGACTCCTACCATGGTTAGTACTTACCGGGTAAATTGTTGCATACGATACCTTTTGGTGGACTAAAATCTTACCCAGTAAGTACTGTAAGTACTTGCTGGGTAAGCGTTTGGTAAATGGCCCCTTAGACTTTTTGAATGCCGTTGAAATAAAGAAATTTACATAAATTGAAATTTTTTAGTGGTGAAGGGACTGTTGCATCATATTCAATCAAATAGGTGAGTTTAGCTGGTAAATCATTCTTACTCATACCCACCAATGACTTGTAATGTATTTAACTTTGGTTATCTGTAAACAAGTTCACATGTCTTGAGCTGATGGAAGGTTTCTGGATGCTATGTAGCTCCTTGGAAGCTTGCAGATGCTAGACTTGTTCTTCAAGATGGATCCATTTGGAAAGCCAAGTCATTTGGTGCTTCAGGGACGCAAGTTGGTGAAGTTGTTTTTAATACTTCATTAACAGGGTGAGATGGAGTAACACTGTTACACTCTTGAGTTAATTAGACATCGTGTATCGTATGAATTTTGCGGTTGTTTTAGCATATGTGATATTTCTGTTTCACTTCTTAACTAGGCGATCCATGTGGATATATGATCGTTTGTATAGATTGAAACACAAACACTTAAGTTTGGCATTTTCTGCTTGAATATGTACATTTGCATAATTGGGTTCCATATGCCACAGGTATCAAGAAATTCTTACAGACCCAAGCTATGCAGGCCAATTTGTCCTGATGACAAACCCACACATTGGCAACACTGGGGTTAATATAGGTAAGTAAGGTATTCCTTCTGTATTATTGGTAGGATAAATTTTTATCATCGTGATCTGAATGAGACATATGTTTGCAGACGATGAAGAATCAATACGGTGCTTCCTGGCTGGTTTAGTAATTAGAAGTTTGAGTATCAGGTATGCTACATCCATGTGGACTCCATCATTTCCATACTTGTTTGCTTGCTTAACGGGTTTGTCTAAATTAGTCCCAAGGGAAACTTAATAATCAGACATCGATTACTGAAATATTCTGCAGTACTTCCAATTGGAGATGCACGGAATCACTTTCTGACTATTTGTCAAAAAGGAACATCATGGGAATATGTATGTTTTCCGTTTAATCATATAATTTAGTGCAGTGTAATCCACATAAGCGGGGATAGCTTTTGATTGGCGTTTCTTCTGGAACAGATGATGTTGATACCCGTGCGATTACCCGTCGGTTGCGAGAAGATGGAAGCCTGATTGGCGTCTTGAGCACAGAAAAATCCAAAACAGATGAAGAACTTTTGGAGATGTCCCGGAATTGGGATATCATTGGTAATGGCCTTTTCTGTCTGGGAAATTCTGACCTTTAAATTCTGGTATATTATTGGTAACAAGTTCCCTTTGTTATTTTTCAAAACAGGTGTGGATTTAATTTCTACTGTCTCCTGTAAGAAACCTTATGAATGGGTTGGAAAGACGGATATGGAATGGGATTTTAACTCCAACGGAAGAGATGGGAAGACTTTCCATGTTAGTATTTCTTTTTCAAATTTAAATTGTTCAGAATCCAAGAATTGACCGACTGAGTTGTATTGCTTAACTTGTGTATGTTTGAATGAAGGTGGTCGCTTATGATTTCGGTATCAAGCACAATATATTGAGGCGATTGGCATCTTATGGGTGTAAAATCACAGTCGTTCCTTCAACATGGCCGGCATCTGAAACTCTTAAAATGAAACCGGATGGTGTTCTTTTCAGCAATGGACCAGGTGACCCATCTGCCGTTCCTTATGCTGTTGAGACGGTGAAGGAGATCATCGGCAAGGTTCCTGTTTTCGGAATTTGCATGGGACATCAGTTGCTTGGTCAGGCCTTGGGTGGGAAAACATTCAAAATGAAATTTGGTCATCATGGAGGAAATCATCCTGTTCGTAACCTTCGAAATGGCAGTGTGGAGATCAGTGCACAGAATCATAATTACGCGGTTGATCCGGATTCACTTCCGGATGGGGTGGAAGTAACTCATGTGAATCTGAATGACGGAAGCTGTGCAGGTCTCGCCTTCCCTCAACGAAAGCTGATGTCTCTTCAGTACCATCCTGAAGCATCTCCTGGACCTCATGATTCAGACATGGGTAATCAATAACCTTCCTATGTCTCTTATTTATTTTTCTTTGCAAGTATATAATATTAATATACGACAAAAAAAAATCACACCCCTAACCTCCTGTGAGGTTGGGCTCTATCAGTAACCTAGATACTGCTAGGCCAAAGCCCCTTCGGTAGTATGTCTATTCTTTATTATGTGAATATTGGTTTCTAACCATAAGGGTGGTGCCTGATTGGTTTGAGCTTGGCTCCAAAGGTCAAAAGTACCAGGAGGTCCCAGGTTCAAATCCAAGGAGGAATAAAAATTCCCTTGTGGCCACACGGAGGTTCAAATGCGGTGACTCCGGGCTATCTGCAAAGCAGGTGGTTGCCCAGGGATTAGTCGGCTCGCATAGCGGGTTGGATATGCAGGTTAATAAAAAAAATATTGGTTTCTAAAAATGGGAATAGGAATGGGAATGGGAAATGGAGGTGTTTATTTACATGGTTGATATGGTGAGTGCAGTATTTGATCATTTTATGGAGCTGATGAGAAGAGAAAAGCAAAGCACCTGATGATGATTGAAGGTGGAAGCAGCTAAAAATGTTATGTTTTAGTATTTATGCAAAGCTTTTAGGAGAAAGATGTAGGAAGAGGGAATTTATCATAACATGTCTCCTACCACTTATTTATTGCATGTGTTTCACTTATTTTAAGCCTAAGCCTAAGCCTATCATTTCATAAATTGAATTTGAACCTACTAAAACATACCTCACAATAAATATGGATGGATGGATTAATACATAATGTTGGAGAAGTGTTCAATTTCATTTCCTAGAGATGAAATGTCAAGAATTGGGGTTGTTTACTGAACATTTTGGTAAATGTTTACCAGTTTAATTACCTTACTGGGTGAACAAACAAGGAGAGATAATCTTACCCAAAAAGGGAAAGCAAGGATTGTCTTACCCAGTAAGTGAAGGTAACGACTCTTACCGGTTAGTGTTTATACTCGTTTACCGAGTTATAACTGCTTACCATCGACACTTTGATGGCTTGAAATGTTACTCTATAAGTATTAGCCAAATGATATATGGTTTTTAATCGGGTCATGAAGTTGGCAATTCTATGATTAGTATATTCCTATGTAAATATATTAGCCACATCTTAGGGGTGTTTAGTTCATGAAATTTGGTGGAATTGGAATGTCAAAATTTTTGACCAAATTCCAAATACCATGTTTGGTTCATATAATAGATGTGAAGGAATCCTTCCAATTCCAACAAATTCTTTAAGTCATTGATTTCACAATTCCACCGCATATACCACGGATTTCAAAACTAAGAATGGCAACGGACCAGGTTCAAGCCGGTTATTGGTATCTCCGTCCTCGAAACCGATAACTAAAATCGTTCCCGTGACCGCCTCGATCCCCATCGGGGTTCTTATCGGGGATCCCTATCGGGTCCCTGCGGTTTCCCCGATCCCCGTTGGGGAACCCGTTAAGGTAAAAATTCTCTTTTTCCCGTTCACCTTTGGTTATAACCGAATCCTAAATCGAAACCCTAAATAGATCTAAAAAAATTACAATATGTTAATTTTAACAACTAAAGTAAATTACAATTTTTTTGAAGATGCAAGTTTAAATGTCTCAAACATAATCGAACCAATTACAAACAATATATTAGATTACAATATAAAACTAAATAGAACTTCAAACATCATATAACTAAAATCACGATTTCACAATTAGACAAATAAACTAGACTTTTTCGTGAGCTTTATTGGGTGGTTGAAGTAAAATGGATAAAAGTTATTAAAATTTTAATGTTACTATTTTTTCTTTTAATGATATTATATATATATATATATATATATAAATTAAAATTAATATATATACACATATCAGACCGGGCCGGGCCGATGATCACCGTCTCCGTCCCCGTTAAAATCCCCGAATTTGTTCCCGATCCTCGCCCCCGTCCCTGTTAAAATCCTCGAATTTGTGCCCGATTCTCGCCCCGTCCCTGATAAGATGTCCCTGAACCTGGCCCGAAAGTTTCGATTTTCGGTTTTCACCATCAGTTTCGGTTTTTTTTTTTGCCATCCCTATTCAAAACTGCTCTCTCTCTCTCTCTCTCTCTCTCTCTCTCTCTATCCCTCCCTCCCTCCTACCTAAAAATGATTTTCTTGAAATGCTATCTATCTAATTTTTCTCGTTGAATTCCGTGAACGAAACAAAAAAATTCCAATTCCATTAAGAATTACATTCCAATTTCATCCAACCAAACGCAATCAAAAGACATGGTCAAATTCCATCAAATTTCATTTCATTCCCTCAAAGTCAAATTCATTTGATGAATTCCAATTCCATCGAATTCCATTCTACGAACCAAACGCCCCCTTAGTATTTTTTTAATTCATTATACTTGGTTACATGTAATGTATTTTCTGCTCATGGTTTATCCATGTAATGTATTACTTTTCATGGAGTTATTTATGGGAGAACTCTATATATTGTGAAAATGAGATCCATTCACAACCATACATGTTTGAATCCATATATGGTAATTTACACTCTAATTACTTACTGAATCCAAACCAATGTGTTTTCTATTTCAAACATTAAACTCAAACATGGTAATTCATACTGTTAATACTTATTGATCCAAGGCATGAGAGTATTATGCTTCAAACATTAAACCTAGACATCGTAATTCACACTATGATTACTCACTGAACTCATATATGTGGTTAGATCTCACAGTTCTTACAAATAATTGGGTTCTCAAATGATTACCATCCTACTTATCGTTACGTGTAATGTATATCAATATGGAGAAAAGTCCAAAAAAAACCCGACAAACTTTCTCATTTTGAATTGTTTAGTCTCCAAAAAAAATTTTTGAATGAAGAACCATTCCCATTGCCAATAACCGTTTTAAAATTAAAAAAAATTGTATCGATTTTACCGTTCCCAATCTTACGTCATTCAAACCCCTCGTCATCTCATCATCCTTCGCTCTTACCATTGCCTATCACCGTTGTTGCCCCCTGCCATTGATCTCACTCTTTTGTTTTTGTTTTTTGAATCCCCGTCTTCTTTTTAAATGTCTATATGTGCTCCATTAATTGTTATCGAAAGAAAGAAAAAATAGGTCAAAAATATGGAGATCGATGGCAACGGCAATGGACGATGGAGAGAACAGACAACAATGGAGCGACATGGAGTAGCGAGGAGGAGTGATGACATTATGTCATACCCCGCTAAAGCGGAAACACGAGATGTAACAGACAAACGAGTCATAGCAACAGTTATTAAATAACATCATTCCAAGTTGTTCAAAAACAATACAAGTTCATCGACATAACTGAGATTATTACTAAATACACTTTTCTCAAAATACTTCAAATTCAGACTTTAATCGATCTTGCCACGAGTATGCTCCCAAAAATCCAACCAACCTTACTTAGGTCCTGAAAAGCATGGAACAAAAACGAGTCAACTACAAAGAGTTGATGAGTTCACGGGTTTTCATATGCATAAAATATTTAAATGCATAAACCAAATAATAGCAAACTTATGCGAAACTCTTTGCACTTAATAAATGTAAATCTCTCATGATGTAAAACTTGAGACGCTGAGCCTTACCTGACCAACTTGCCCCATTAATTTTCGAACAAACAGAAGTAGCCCGTTCATTACTTAGGTCCCACAGTTCGATAGAGTACTAATTCAGCGGTGGTCCAAATTCCACATGATTAGACTAGAAAAACGTAGGTAATTGTGCACCCCTTTCTGGGTGGGATTGTCAACACAATAGCGGCTATCCACAATACCACGGCCCGGGAATGTACCCGAGTTAACAAGTAGCGTTTACGGACGGGGACTTTTATTTGGAAACATATACTCCCAAGCACATCAATTTAGCATTTATTCTAAGTGCAATAACAATTATCAAAACAAAACATAATAAACCCGACTAAGCAGTTCCTTAGTCCAGAGGTTTCAATAGAGCTTGACTAAGCAGTTCCTTAGTCCAGAAGTTTTGAACAAAGCATCGACTAAACAGTTCTTTAGTCCCAAAATTTTATATAACACAAACATGCAAAGTTTGCTCAATCTCATGCTTTTCCCCCATAAAATATACAAAAGCAGTAAAAGTGGGGCCGTAAGAACTCACAAGTTTGATGAATATCCAAGGTTTCCTTTCGAAGCTTCCTAGACTCACTCGAACTTTCCTGACAGACCAAACCAGCGCCACATTACTAAACGGTTTCTTGCCTAAGGTAGAGCATAGTTGATTTCAACGCAAGCCATCCCAACGAAGACACATGCAGGTCTTTGATGAATAATCTCTCCTCTTTAAATCCCATAAATTTTTGCTTAAAGAGTCGAGAAGGGAGAAGGATAAAAACTTTCGGACTACTAAGAAATTAGAACAACTCTAAAGCGTACCTTTTCTAAACAGAAGCTTTCGAACAAGCTCTTAAGGACAGCGAAAGCCCTAAGTTTTGCAAGAAGATTGGAACCGGCTGGAAGGTGATGRCGTTAGAGAAAACAGAAAGCTGGAAATTTGGAGAATGAAGATTTTCCAAAAGAAGAGAGGTATTTATATGGGGCTTTTTGAGAASAAATGGGCTGGCTCCTAAAGGCCAAAGACCAAGATATTAAATTTTTTAAAGGCTAGAACCCCACTAATTTAAACAAACAAAACAATTTGATAAAAGATTTTTAAAAGAAACTCCACTCTTTAAATTAATTGGCAAATAAATATAAAAAAAATGGGACTTTGGAAATCTTTAAATTTTTAGAGAGGACGAAACTTAAAAAAATATATATCAACTTTATTCTATGTGGAATACTTCAAGACTTAATTGGCATTGCATAAATTAACTTTGTTAGCTACTCGCCGAGACGTGATCTAACGAACTAATCTTGGGAATTAAGCAAGATGATCTCTAATCATCGAAGCTAAATCCTAGAAAGACTTAGTTTTCAAATAAAGATCCTGAAATAAGGTACAAACATGAAATCCCAAAGTGACGAATTGTCACACATTATGTGTGAAGGGTTTGAGAACTGTAAAACTAATCTATGTTTTTTTTTTTACTTTAAAACATTGTTAGTCGGTTACATGTATATTTTTTTGGGTTAAAATAATGTAAGTTACCAATTTTTAGAAGTTCAATGGTTTATTTATTAAAAAAAATCAAAGACTTAATCATTCAAAATGAGAAAAGTTTAATGATTTTTCATTCAAGAAAATGTTTAAGGACTAAACGACTCAAAATGGAAAAATTAGTTAGGTCTTTTTAAACTTTTCCTATTAATATATGGATATACTTATGGTTATCTGTATAATGTATATTACTCATAGTCATTTTTACGATATAAATATTTGAAGTTAAGTGTCAATGAATTATTGGATGGTGGAAGGAGTTCGCGTAAGTGAATGGAACGGGACCCCAATCCCGTCTCCAATCCTCAATCTATAATCTTCGTTCCCGTTCTTGCTAGGGAATATGATCGCATTTACATCTCCGTCCCTAGTGAAGACAGAGATCCCCAATGAGAAATCAAGGGTTTTTTTTTTCAAATTCAAATTCGCAAACAAAACAAGTCTTGTCAAGTGTCAAGAGTGGTTTATCAGCATTCAATTTCAACCAAAATCAAATTAACATTGAATTACCAGTAATCAAAATCATTAAATCAAAAATACCATAACGAAATTATATCAAAAATACCAAAACAAAATCATAATCAAAATAATGTGATTCAAAGTAGTATATCGGAAAAATCAAAATAGAAAAAGAAAGTTCATAATAGATTTGTTTATAAACAAATATATAATATATTAAATATACAGGAACAAGGCGGATTAGGGATCACGTTACCCGACCCCTATTTTTTAACGTCTGGGGATATCACGTTACCCCTATTGACAAAGTAGTATATCAATAGGGATCCCTGTCCCCAATTTTGTGAGGACTGAGGAATCTTTGGTCCTGATCGAAACGGGTGCACCAGGTTCCCCAACAGGATGGACCTCATTTTCATGCCTAAGCTAATCTGATAACTTTCAAGTGAAAACACACCAAATAATGAGTATTAGAATCTAGTTATTTGATTCACATATGAGGAGGCATACCACTATCTGCTATTTATTTTCTCACTCTTTCAATTAACAAGAACTGATAATCATACCTAATAAGTGAGGGAGTAGACTCTTACCTGATAAGTGCTTATCAGGTAAAACACGCTTATCAATGATCCATTTTGATGGTCGAATATCTTACTTGATAAAGTAAGCAAAGATAACACTCTTACAGATAAACACTTAAGGATTGTTTACCAAACACTTACCCAGTAAATGCTTACCGTTAAAATTCAACACTACTATCCAAGTGTGAGGGGCATGGTTTTTATCGTGTCGTAGAATTTGTACCAAAACGATTATAATATCTATTCCTTAAATTTAAGAAACGGACATTAATTACTTTTTGCATGATAATTTGTTTTTGAAATTTTAATCATAATGTCTTATAATACAATATAAAATACGTTTGGTATACAATTGAAGTCATGTTTTGTAACCATAAGCTAATTTATTTTTTGAGTTTATTGAAAAAACTCTGTATAATTTTGTCATAAGCTAGCTGATAAACTAACTTATTAAAACGTTGCTTGAAGTAGCATTTCAATAAAGTCTATGAATTTTTTCTCTACTTTTTTCCAAATACGTAGATTATTATTAAATAAAAATTATTAATTATAAAGAACAACAACGAACATGAGTGTCTTATATTCATTTTTAAGGGGATGAGACGTAATTGATAGCAATTTACAAGAATCTGTTTCATATGAGTAAAAAATCATGCTTTATGAGAATATCGATGAAATGGTGGCGACGATGGCGGTCGATGGTGGTGTGCTAGTGGCCAAAGGTGGTAGGGGTGGGGGTGGAGCTGGGGTTATTAATGTAGTCACTTGGAAATGATACTGGTGACATGTTATAATTGAGTAATTTCTTTAACATTTTTTTTTTAAATTACTAGTTGCATATCTACGTAATGTGACGGTAGCTGTGAATTTTAACGATTTTGAAGTTTCATTACTTTAATTAGAGAAGATTTAACGATGATATAAGTTATACTTGGTCTTTGCATATTAATACAGTTTGAATAAATAAGAGTTATAGTCCCAATTACAGTCTATCAATAAAAAATTTGTATGACAATTTAAAATCCAATATATTTAAAATCCAACATATTAAAACGACTTCACAAATGTGTTCGATTTACACCAAAAGCAAAGAATCAAGAGATCGAGACCGAGACCGAGAGTTCTAGAGCAATTGAATGAAAAGACTTTTAATAACTCATGGTGAATATCAGTTTGAATATCACATTGGGGGATGGGTAGAAGACATAGAGGTATGAGAATGTGAAGACATGAGTGAAATGTGTCAAAAATATCTTGGGAACATGAAAAAAAATAATAATAATATGTATTGGTAAGTTGTACTATCATTATAAGTTGTAGATTAAGGGATTTTAAGGCTGAATGTATAAAGTAGTAGTACTTAATGCATTATGAGTTGTTTTTAAGACTTTTAAAATTTTATGCATAAATGTATAGTACTTTGTGCATTAAAAATTGTTTTTAAGACTTTTGATAAATCTGATTTATAAGGTAATATAAATTTAGGGGGTGTTTGGGTTTGCTTATTTAAAACAATTTTTCTTTTTATAAAAGTGTTTATTTACTTATGTGGTGTTAAATAGTTGTTTTATAAAAAGTGTTTTCGATTAGCTTATAGTGGTGTCAAAACGTAATAAACTGATAAATATTTTTTATCAATACAATAAAAACTCTTTATTACTGGTACCATACTGGAATAAGTTAATAAGTTCAAAAAAAGTAACTTATCAAAAACTCTTTATTACATTACAAATACCAAACCGGTACATGTATTTTTTTTTCTCTCTCTCCATCCAAACACTAAAAAACTCATTGTTATCAATATCACACCAAAATAAGCACTTTAAAGCAATCCCAACCTGATTGGTTTGAGCTTGACTTCAAATGTTAAAAGTACTTGGAGATTCCAGGTTCAAATCCAAGGGGAATAAAAATTCTCTTGTGGCTATAGAGATACAAATACAGTGACTCCAGTTATCTGCAAAACAGGTGATCGTTCGCCTAACGGATTAGATATCCATGTTAATAATAATAAAAAAAAACCCTTAAAACATTTCTCATACCAACTAATTTAATTAGAAAATTTTATGTAATAATTAGGGACAAGTAATTTCTTTTTAATAAAAAGATCTAGAAAATCAAACAGTGTCACTCATCGAACTCTTTGATCAATCAGAACATCCTTTCTTTCTCTTTGTGCTTGGTAAAGTCGGAGAAGACGATGGCTACATCATCATCGCCGCCGCAGTCTGATACTGAAGTGGTGGCGGAACGGAGGGGAATACCTGCGGCTTCATTTGTTAAAGATGTGCAAGCTTATTTGGATCAATTAGGTCTTGATGTTAACTCTACTCTCGCCTTCCAACAAGAAAGGTCTTTCATTTTCATTCCATTTGTTTCTGCTGCTGTTTTTTCAGTTCAAATTCTTTGTCATTTGTGTATCGGATCAGTAACTGTTCTATTAGGGTTTATGCGCGGCTTCTTTTTTAAAAGTAAAGGTAACGGAAAAATCTTTTGCTTTTGCTGTTAAAATTTTGCTTATGTAATAATTTGAAATTTCTAATTAAGCTAAATATGAATGTACGATGTATTTTTATTTTGGGCAATTATTAGGAAATACGAATGTGGGTTGAGAAATTTCATGATAAAAATCTAATTTTATTTGCTTAGAGTGCAGCACGTAGTATAATTCTAGATGTGAAAACTCAGCTTAATAGCTGTTTGCAGAAATCTGTCTTAATGCAAAAGGAAATTTAGGAACGAGTTCTATTTTGATTGTTGGCAGCCAGCCAAAAAAGACATGTTTATTCAACTTACTAATGTAATCTTTTTATAGTGCTTGCATCTTTGATAAAAGGCATGTTAATGGCATTTTTATTTTAATTTAAGAACTCTTTCATGTGTCGTGAAATACATGTATGTGTAGGTGGAGTAGCTTATATGAAGTAGGCCTATGACTAGTTGTTTCTAGGAAAGAAAATATTTTGCAGATCGTAAACCATACGATAATTCAGAAAAATATATTCATTACCCGTTTGCGGATTGATGTGTATGGTCGACGATACTCCTCAAATAAGCCAATATAGTGATAGGCTCGTACTTTGGCCTAAGCCCATAATCACATAGTCTAGGCATAATCATTGAAACAATTAGTCACGAATAAGAGAATGATGCTATTTAATTAGCCAAGAAAAAGGCAGTTATGCTATTTCCTTAGTTAAAACGTTATATAAGTAAGGTGTAGGGGGATTAAGCTAGTATGCGTAATTTGATTGAGCAATTACTTCAACTTAGATTAGCATTGTGGAGAGAGAAGCTTACATCTTGTAAGTAAGCTTTTTTGTCTTGTTCATTATTCATAATGAATGGGATATACCAGGTATGTTTGCTTCGGTTTATATCATTTTTTATTCAATTAAATCTTTTGGGTTCTTTCAAAGTGGTATCATCAGGAATCATACACCAAGCTTAGCACTTCCGGCAACCCTTAACAATGAGATGGAAGTTTGTCTAGGTACCACTTGAGGATATGCAGGTGCTTATTCATTGGAAGGACTTAGAGGAGTGTGAAGCGACTTCGGAATCGTTTACGCTTATTTCACTATGATTTCCGGAATGCCACCTTGCCGTGGCAAGGTGTTTCACCCCCCGGGGGGGGGGGGGGGAGTAATGATATGCCCGTACGTGGGCCTAAGCCCATAAGCATATTCTAGGCTTAATCTTAGAAACAATTAGCCAATATTAAGGCAATTAAGCTATTTCCTTGGTTAAAATGTTATATAAGTGAGCTTAAGGAGGAATAAGGTGGTATGCTTAATTTGATTGAGAAATTATTACAAGTTAGATTAGGGATCGTTTAGAGAAGCATACCTCTCGAATATAAGTTGGTTTTTGTCTATTTCATATCGTTTTGAAGTTAATTTAATTTTTGGGTTCTATCATATAGTTGGACTATCATTTCTTAGGAACCATTTGTGGTTGCTAACAGTGATTGATGACACAATTACAGGAACTCGTGTATTAGTAAATCTTGTAAAGTTAAACTAGTTATTGTTCTTGCTCAGTGCACTGAATACCTCCTCCCATTGCATGATAAATTAACTCATTGTTGAAAGTTGATTCATATCAATTTCGATGTTCAAAAGTAATATGTTTGACCCCCAAAAGTCAAATCAGATGCTTTTTAAGGGATATATTGAATAAAAAAAAGATGCATTTGGTACTCATTGTCCCAATGGATTAAACTAAGATTTTATCTATCTTAGTGAGAATTGCCCATAGGACTTTTTTCTATTTCTGTTTTAATTATATATTTATATCCAACATTGCTATATTGTTGACCAAGTTTATGTGTGAGTATTATGAATATGACGAGCAATGCAGCAGAATGTGTATTTTCACTACTTCACGCCTACAATAGTTCTTTCAACAAATTTCTTTGGTTTGTTGATTTCCTTCCCATTGTCTGTAATCTTTTAATTTAATAAATGTTATTTTAATTGTTTTTTTCCTTGTCTTATGACTTTCTGTGTGTATGCAGGCTTCAGCAATATAAGATAGTTGAAATGAAACTTCTTGCTCAGCAGAGGGATCTTCAGGTAGTGTCCATATTGTATACCTGTACAATGAAGTGAACATAAATTGACTACAAGATAGTGACATACTACTCCCCCCCTGTGGTTATGAATTGCTCTTGGTTCTGCATTCGCGTATAACTCGTCTTTTTATTTTAGAAAAGAACCGAGGGACTGGATTTGACTTAAAAGTTGGCTAACAACCTTTAAGCAATTTAGTTCTCAAATTCACATTTTAATGATCTAATCTATGATTGATATAGCACATCTGTTAAGTAATAATGCATTTGCTCTTCCTACAGTATCAATTAAGATATATAACCAAACTCCCACCCACACCCTCCCTTTGCATGAGCGATGCTATTGTTTTTGGAATAGTTCTTCTGCTTGTTTGGTTGGTCAATATGAGGATCCTGACTAGTTCCAAGAACACATGTTACTGATGTTCTGCACTGCGAGTAGGAGCTGTTTTTAGAAATGAAGGAGCTGAAAGTTGTATGCAATAATTTATTGTAAACTTGAAATAAGAATATATAAAATTACAAACAGTTTGACATAAATAAACAGTAGGGTCATGTATGAGGTTAAAGCAGTTTTAATCATACGGAATTCATATGAATGTATCTCACCAGCTTGAGATTAATGAAAAATGTAGAAGACATATCGCAAATGTTGGTATCATTTTTTGTTCAATTAATTTATAACCAGCGAAAGAGAATATTTATTTTTTTAAGCCAACTTGGGTTTCAAAGCAAGTAAGACATGCAAGTAACGATAATAGTAATGATGCATTTCTTAGCTACAGATTATGTTCCTAGACCCCATATTATAGAGTTTCTTGCACTACCATCATCTATGATCTTTGAAACATCCTTCTTTTGCACCAAATTGCATCCCCTATAAGGCCAATGTGCTTTTTCCTATTGCATTCACTCAGGTTCGAGTTTCAACCAATTCCATCTTTCGTTGAAAAAAAATCAGTGTGGCTTTGGAAGTATTATGACTACTTTTGAGTGGAGTGAACGAAAACCCACATCAACCCTGGTTGCTCTGGGGAGGATTTGGTGATGGTGCGGTTAGATGGTGTTCGTAGTCTAGCCAGATTACCCCCACTGTGTTCAGGGAGATGGTTTATGTTGGGATCAACTTTTGAGAACACATATGCACATTGTTATGTACGTGGGTTTGGGCTACAGCCTTGAGCCTCTTCCACATCTACCATCTATGTACTAAAGAAGGGAACTTTACGGCAAGGATGGTATATCAAGAACACTTTGCTGAAAACAAGTGAATTAAGTTATAGTTTTCCTCTCCAATGATCGGTTTTAATTATCTTTTTCCACAACTAAGTGCCTTACTCTACTCCATCAACAACACCATAATTTAACCTTCGTACACCAAGGTGCGTGTGTGGAAGATGACATATGTATCTATGCTGGGTTTCATATTGCAAGACACTATTTCTCAAATTAGTCTTTCATTCCCTCTCCCGTTTGAACCAGAAGTTGTATGTCTTTTGCTTTCTGCTTTCCAGGCAAAGATCCCAGATATCGAGAAGTGCTTAGATGTTGTTGCTACTTTACAAGCTAAGAAGGGCACTGATGAGGTTGGTTATCATGTTGTAATTTATCTTTTTCTTCTCCTTCTTATTGTTGATTTAGTTGTTGTAGTTAATGGCTTTGAGAAATGATCAACTTCTATGTTTGGCTTACCAATAGTTTGATGTCACTTCTCCACTCTGTGGTCAGTCACTTGGCAGTTGATGCATATTGTGGTTGTCTGCTTACTTGATTATTAGTTCTAATTCAAATATTGGCATTGTTACTTAATCAAATTCCTGATTTTGACTCATGAATGGAAGTCATGATTTTTATGATTATTAAGGAATGTACGCTGTTTTTGTTATTCAAGGGAAAGAACTTTAATACACGTTACTCAGTGCCAAATATTGCTGAGAATACCTTTTACTTTGATTAAGAGTAACAGTGTGAAATGTAAGTACTAACAAGCAGGAAGGAGTAATATTTTACCTGTCATGGTGTATATGATGTGTTTCACAAACTTGGTTCTTGTCCAGACAGAAGGAATATGCTCAGAGACATTGTTGCACGAACATGTCTTTTTTTAACTGAAGAAGTCAGGATTGTTAGGGAGCTGTGAGGTCACTTTTTCAAATTACGTGCACAAAGTTAATTGTTGGAGCGAATACTTGGTACAACTACAAAAGATAAATCCATGAATGAGTGCTCATGAAATGGTGGATATGAAAATAGACCCACTAACAAATTAACTGATAGAAAATAATTTAAGGTTTTGATATATTTTGGTTGCATACAATGTAATACCAAATGTTTGCCCAAGCAAAGAGGTATAACTCAAAATGATGCTATCCAATTACCTTATAGAGAGTTCTCGAAATTAACAATGATAAAAAAGATAGATGTAACTCCTCTCCACCCAAACGAATGGTTTGTCTTCTAGTTTATGGTCATACGATAATAAAAAGTCACCTTTTTCTATAGAATATGCCCTTTGGTTTTGCTCATCTGCAGTTTGACTTGTTAAATTAAAAAAACTGTTAACCTTAGATGAGCACCCTTTTGAAATCGGCCTCATGTTTTATAGTTTGCTTCATAAAATACAAGGGTAAATATATATTACTTTATGCATGAAATTGCAAGGATGGTATTTCATTAAAGTGTAGCAATATATTAGTTCATGAAATGCAAGATTTTCGGAAAGCCAACGATGTGGCAAAAGAGGACTCTTGCAGCCAATTCTAAAAGATCGGACTTCGGAGAAGGCCTCATAGAGTTGACTCGAGCATATGGAAGAGCCTTTTGTGGCGTTTATAGTCTAGTAATATTGGTTGCCAATGTACACAAGTTCTTTGGACCTATAAACTTGACTCTTGACTGATAAAATTAATCCCACCTTGTGTTTGAAGGCAGTGTTTTGCTAAAGCGAAAGCCTTGTTATCCTTTTTTACTCCCTATTGATTTATATTCGTGAATAACTCAAGGCAAAATCTGTTAGGCACACAAATGCAAAAAAAATTGGATGCTAGAGAAACCGTACTTTCTTGTATCTGAATTCTACCGTTGGATGGACCAACCTCTAATAGTGTCAATGCATGGATGATAAGTAAGTTTGAGCATTGCCATTGATGTTGGTTCTGCATGCTCCAGTTTCCATTTGCAAGACAACCATTCATAGTATTTTGCGCTAGATCTGCCTATGGCATTAGAACTATCACCAATAACATATTATACCCGGTAAACTGTACTTAGAGGAAGAGGTAATGGAAGTGTCAAAGGTCATCTACCATGCAAGCACACATTCTATTTGTGGATACTTGTTCTCCAAGAATCCCAAAGGCAGCCTTAGGTTGGTTATATACCACATTTTGAACCCTTTTGCCTTTCTGGGTTTTTGTAAAAATGGGTTACTGCTCTCAGAGTCCCTTTTGTAGGGTATGTTGGGCCTTCAAGCGTGCTGCCCATCATGGTTGGGTTTCCCCTAGGAAGTAGGGGTACTTCTTCCTTTCCGGGTCCCTGTATGGCATGCTTTGTGGTGCAGGTATCGGGGGGTGTACACACTCCACGCAACATTAATTGTAACCCCCAAATTATTGGCCACACACACAAGGGGTAGCTTGAGGCTTTCTCATATCAGAAAAGGAAATGAAAATCCGCAACAGGGGATACAATCTAGCATGGCCTTTTTCTACTCTGCCTTCAAACTTGGAGCAGAATCAACAAGGAACAGTATTAGTGTTACATTTCGTAGGTGAATTGAGGGATATAGCACAATGCTTCATGGCTCTTGGCTGGATAGGAAAATGTGTTTCCTACTTCACAATCTAAGCTCTTATCATATTTCATGTGCATCATTCTCTTCATGTCCAAACATATTGGTGCATCTTTAGTACAAATATTATCGACCTTGTTGTATGCTGGTAAAATCTCCCTTCGACAGAATGTACAGGAACTACTTTATTTTTGTGTTTGTTTGAGCGAACAATCTTCCATCCAATTTTCTGTGATTATGATATGTTGGGACCTGCTTGTTTGATTACAGGCATTGCTTACAGATTTCGAGGTATCGGAAGGCATTTATTCCCGGGCACGGATCGAGAATGCAGATTCGGTGTGCTTATGGTTGGGAGCAAATGTAATGCTAGAGTACTCATGTGAAGAGGTGCATATATTGTTGTTGAACATTTCCTGTAGGTTAACTTTTTATGTACCTTTGGTAAAAGATTCGACTTCTGAACATGAAAACATGCAGGCCACTTCTCTGCTGCAAAAGAACTTGGAAAATGCAAAAGCCAGTTTGGAAGTTCTAGTTGCTGATCTACAGTTCTTACGAGATCAAGTTACCATCACACAGGTACCACCTCATGGATTTTTATTTATTTGTGGTCTGCAGAATTCAAATCATTTTAAATTTGAAGTTGCTTGCTACTTTTCTGCCAAGAAAAGGATACATTTTGACACTTATATATCAAATCCAAAGTTGATTTAGCATATTGTTACTAATTTTGGGACCGACATTTTTCTGTTTGTAGTACTTGTTAAAAAAGTTTAGTATATCTATCAATTTATATACAAGGTAGTATTATTTGATGCATCGCACATGCATAGTGATCAAGAAAACTGCCTGACCACACACACATGGTGGACCTATGAAGGATTTGTGCGCGGAGGGGGATTTCACAAGCATAATTCATTGTGTGAAATGCCTCAAATGCGATATCTGAATCTCTTTAATATTTATAATAAAAATTGGAGTGATTAACCTTTAGTCCCATCTTCCTTCGTTCTCCATTCTTTATTTTACGAGTCCTGTGCTGTCTCCATTACACTTCAAGATCAACAAATGGGACTCATAGTCGCAAGTTTGTTTTTCTTCACACCACGAAATGTATGACCCACCCAAAATCCATAGTGTTAAACGTTCAACATGAATAGAGCTAATTTGCTCATTCTTGTCTTTGCAAGTAATTTAGATTGATCCTTTTTGCAATTACTTGTATGTAAAAATTAGGTTACTATTGCTCGGGTGTACAATTGGGATGTCCACCAACGAAGAGTTAGACAAGCTTCTTCTTCCCAAGATTGATGAGAAAAAGCAAAGAGGTGTGCAAACTTGTCTCACTTTTCAGATTGTGGTCACATTAGGCTAATTTCTTTCCATCAACTTTATGCATCTTCATAGCTAGTTTAATGAATTTTGATCTCATTTCGGATTTTGATTTGTTGCTATGCATTTGTTGTGTAACATTAATGTTTATTATTCTGTGTGATTGAACATTTAGGAGTTTGTGACAATACCCAATTCGTTCCTATGAAAGTTGCCCGTTCTATCTTTTTCTTACAACATTTTAAACTTCAGTAACCTATTTGATTGTTATTGATGGTTATTTTGGTGAACATGTTACCTATTTGTCATTCCTAATTGTCTTTTAGATATCTTACTAATAATCTATCACTTGTATTTTAGTCATGCTTTAGGTCTAATATTGTAGTATTCATAACCACAACTTGGTGTTATCCTTTATTTCTCTTTAGCCATTCTTTTCTTTCAGGCAGTTGGCTTTGTTTGAAGAAAACTTCTTTTCTTTTGGTGAACACCATTGTTTTGTTTTTTAGGTGATTTAGGGAGGTACTCTTGAAATAAGCTGTTCTCACTTGCACATAACCTTACTGCTACAAATTGCTCGATGACTTGCACTTGCAACAGTAATATCTAACTTACTTGTTGAAGATGACCTAGATCTAGTAGTATCTGGGAGTCGACTTTTGCTTATGCGTTCTTATTACTTCAAAAGACGACCACTAAGTATGAGATTCAAAAAGATATGAATTTGAGCTAAAACAACACCCTCCTTACTAATTCCCTTCTCACATGTCAAACTCAAGTAGTATTTTTTACATTTATTAAGAAATTGATTTGACCTGATTGGGGATTTGTTTAGAGAAAACATAAAGGGCACAATTGGAATTTGATCATTGCTTTCAAGTAATCTGAAAAACCAAAAGAGTAGTAGTAAATAGCAGGATTAAAAGTCAAAAAAGTGTAGAGAGAGAATGTTATCCTTGGAGAAGGAAGTGGTTTTGGATGAAATGATGTCATCACTCATCATCTGATGTGTTTGATAAGTTTGACTCTGAATTTGTTGCATTAGATGAGATTTTTTGTCAAAAAGCACAACATTATCCTCAGCTCAGCTGACTGATTCAAAAGGCAGGCAGCAGCTTTTGTTTCTGTTTTTCCAAGTTTGACTCCTTAGCTACCTATGTTGTCATGGTCCAAGAGTCTGTGGTTGTAGTTGGTCTCCCATTGGAGCAGTGGGGCTTGTTTCCATTTTGGGGAGTAAATGTTCAATAACAAATTATGACTTATCTTTAGAAAACATAACATTTTGACTTTGCATATAGTTATACATGTCTGAATGAAACCTGGTAATTGGTAACCCCATAATTGTATTGGTAAGAAATTGGATTTAAGTCTACTGTCTGACTGCTAATTTCATAGTCGAGCTTCTTTCTGACCGTTAACTCGAGGGTTCGTGGTTAGCATAACGATACAGAAATTGTTAATTGGTAGGGTAAGATGAGTGATTTTTGGGGAAGGAGGTGTTGAGTTGTTGATTGATAGCCCTGCTTCACCTTGAATCTGACTACTTTTACTTTGCATTTATGTGACATCCCCCTTTTACCTTCTAAATATCTACTTTTCTCCTTTCTATATCTTTAATTCAGTTACTTTTACTTACTAATATTAACTTAGGGGTCGTTTGCTAAACGTTTACCTGGAAATTGCTTACCGGGTAACTTTCTTTACCGGATGAACATGATAAGGATAAAAAATCTTATCCGGTAAAAACAATGATAAAGATGAAGAGTCTTATTCGGTAAGTGAGGGTGACGACTCTTTCCCGGATAAATTGTTGTATACGATATCATTTTGATGTATTATAATCTTTCTCGATAAAATAAATTATAGTATTAACTTCTAATGATAAACGCTTATCCGATAAACACTTAGATGAACGGCCATATTTTTGTAAACTAAAAACTGTTGTTAAATTAGTATTTTTATAAATAAAAAAATGATACATGATTTTGGTTGGATGCAAAAGAATATATAATAGAATTAGAATAGAGAGAGAGACAGAGCCGTGCACGCAAAACCAGGCAGATTTTGTCAGGATGCGACGTCGGTTTCTGTGTCTACGCGTAAACCCATATTATTCTTTTAATCCACACCGTCAAAACTTTTGACTTTGACTGCTTCTCATCCTAATTTCTCTCTCTTGATTTCTTTTTATAATTACAAACTCGAACCGTATAGAATTGGCTTGATTTTGTTTCGGAAATTGACCTAACTGATTTTATTGTAACTCAAGAAATTTAGAGGTTAGATAAACCGTAACACTTATAAACAAAACATCCCCATGTTTTGCTGTTTTACCGGTCTGTCTATCTACAATAATTAATTATTGTTGACCACGTTCTATCGGAATCATTGAATCAATAACAATAAGCCTTCCTATGCCATAAGGGGTTGACTTGGGGGGGACAAGCCGTGAAATTAGCAGTTGATTTAAACACGCCATGATGTTAGTAGCCAATTCACACCAGATATTCATCCTCCTTGTTCTGGAGGCTCTCCAGCCGGAGAGGGGCTTGTTATCGTAACCTTTTTCCCGATGTATGACCGACTAAATTTGCATGCTATATGTCAAAAATCCACGCTTAATTAAGTCGGATAAGATCATCTCTATGAAAAATTGAAGGTTGTGTTTGGTTGGGGATAATAAGTGGTGGCAAGTGAAAACGATCATCGTTTTAGTTTAAACGGAGAATAACAATGGAATATTAGTAATGCAATCAATCATCTGCCAAAAACACAACCGAATAGAATAGATGCTCCATTGACCATGTGAATGTAGTGAGTGAACCTTTGTTTCAGTTAGCTACAACTCGATGTAAAATTTCAGAAGAGGTAACAACTTTGGAAGGATACCGATTTCTAAAAGGTAAATTTTTCATTGTAGAGTGAATTATAAAGCAATAACAATTGTTCGACGTGTTAGAGATTGACATGGACTGTTTCCAAACCATTTGGTCTGGTCAAATCCAAGACTAATTTACAATCGATAATCTGGACTGGTTTTAGCTTGATATAGTCTGGACTTGTTAGATTTTTAATTTTGTAAAAAACTAATTTAATACATTATTAATAACTATTATATATAATAATTATTAGTTTTCCATCCATTCATTTATTTTCACAATTTATCTATTGTATTGAACTTGTAAAATACACATTACAAATGAAATTACCAAAATATAATTAAATTATATTAATGAAAAATAAATGGAAATATACTTCAAATATTCTTATAGATTGAAAAATGAAACCATATGAAAAACAAATGAAATTACAATAATTTTTAAATAATTACAAAATATGAAATGACTACAAAGTTTATAAATATTTGGCATTGTTTGTAAAATTATGTATTAACTTGTAAGAAGCATATTGATTTTGATTGAATTCTCTTTAATAATAGCTATTATATTTTTTTAAGTGAAATTCCGATAAATTAAGAAGTCAGAAAGTTATCAAAAAGAACGTAGAGCACACAGGGCTTTGAACCCAAATACATTACCTACAAGGGTGGTCCAACTCCAATATTGTTTGATCTGGTATGGTTCCATCTGGTTCAATTTATATCAGGTTGTGTTTTATCTAGTTAGGGGTGTTTGCGGTCCGGTTTGGGCGGTTTAACCCCTCAAAACACAAACCACACCATAATGGCGGTTTATAAAATTTTCAAACCGAGCGGTTTGACATCAAGTCCCCAGACCGGTCAAACCAGACCACGAAAAGGCGATCTGGTCTGACCGGTTTAGGCGGTTTGTGCCTTTAATGGACTTTAAATATTAAACTTAAACAACATATATAATTTAATTTTAACGTAACAAAATATCTAAACAAATAAATGAAATAATTAAGCAACTCTTGAGTACAAAGTCGAAGCAATCCAAAGTACAAACAAATAAATATATAACATATTGGAAAACAWAYAWATTAACAAAGTTACAACTCTACTGTGAATATTGAGTAACAAAATCCACGACTTCACAACCTTCAATGGTTCAATTCTTGAGTCTTGAGTTCTTGACCAAACAAAATAGAAGCCAAATCTAAGTTGGTTGAATCACTTGGTTGATGTCTTGATGATGTRCGCCGAAATCAAACCATGGATTAGAAAGATCAATAGATTGATGCAGTTCTTGAGAGATTTCAAAATTTGGAGACCGTCAATATCAAATGTGTCGATATGTTCAATGGTTTAATGGTTTTAGTCTTCGATTTTGATTATGATAGATATTAGACTTAGGGATATATTTAGGTCATAGCCAATAAGTTAAAAAAGTTGGGTTTGCTAATATTAAAATAGATAAATAAATATAGATATATGTATTTGGCGGTCGGTTTGGTCCAAACAGCCCAAAAAATGTTCCAAACCGTAGACCGGATCGGACCGCCCAGTTTTGCTATTTTCCAAACCAGACCGGACCGCCAGATCGCTCAAACCGCCAAAAAGGTCCGGTTTGACTTGGTTCAGTCGGTTTGAGCGGTCCAACGGTTTTTTGAACACCTCTATATCCAGTCCTAAAAAAGATTGCTCCGAGACCAACCTGTTTATAAAAAGTTTAGACCGATAAGATATTACAATTATATTTCATTGTGTAATATCACAAAGACCAAAAGTGGAGAGGCTTAATAGCATATCATAACTTAAATTTGAGTTCAGTATATGTGAAAATTGTTGCCCTCAGTCCCTAAAACGTGCCCCTCCTAATGCGACTATAGTCACCCAAGCTTGTGAGGACACGGGCGATGCCTCGTGCAGCTCAAGCCACCTTCATTTGTTACCCCATCTTTTGGACGTTTCCACTCCAGTGGCTCCAGCGGGATTTCAAGCAGGTTTGCCCGCATCTCAACTGTCTGTGTGGTTTTTGGTCTTCAGTCCTTGTGCAGGGCACGTTCTCTCTTGCAGCCCATGTTGGCCACCAAGTGACTGTTTAGTTTTGTGCATGCAAGGGTTTCCTATCATCTTTTATTTTCTATGTAAGCTGTTGATTATAAATTTTGTCTCGTTGTTAGGAAAAGAAACGATTGTCTCTTTCTCTAGAACTTGGTCTCCAAGTTTCTCTCAAGAACCATTTTGATTTTCTCCATCGTAAAGGCTGTAATCTTCTCAAGTATATCATCATCAAAGTGATAGTGGATCAATTCTCGGCGTTCTCTACCCGTGGTTTTCCCTTTCTGAGTTTCCACGTAAACATCTCGATGGCTCTT